CACCTACCGCAGCAGCGCAGCCCACAACCATTCTCTACCGTTTTCCCGTCGACGCACCTCTCACCATCCACAACGAAGCCCAGACACAGCGTATCTGGGCTGGTGCCGACCGGGTGTCAGCGACCACCATTGCCATTCAAACAGCGCCGCAAACACACCCTCATCAACCGAGCCATGCAGACATCTCCCAGGCCCCTGCAGCCACTCAACCAGCCTGTTGCCACCCAGACCGAGTCAGTATACATGCATTGAGACGCAAGCCGAAATTTTTTCACTGCCCCTCTACCCGCCACTCTCACAGCCAGCAGCCTTCCTCTCCCCCCGTACCAACATTGTCACCTCCGCCTCCAACAAACAGCAGCAGGAGTGAGAGGTGAAAAGAAGTCGGCTGGCTGACGTCCGATTGCTTCGACGGCGTCTAAAGCTTGGTGTAGGCGACGTTTTGAGGTTGTGATGCGGGTGCGATAGTCATTGATAAGCTCCCGGACAGGTGGCGTCATGTTGTGTAGAAAATAGTCGCGCCACATTGGCGTCTCCCTCAACTGATTCAAAAGACAAAGACAAAAGTGGGGCGGGGGGCCCTGCGCGGAGGGAAGAGCATCGGTGCGAGATTTAAGGGCAGCTTGGGCGAACAAATGGTATCTCAAGTTTTGGAAAGTGGCCGCTGTAGGAGCGCGGAACAAACAGGCGTAACAAGGCAAAGCGATTGCTCATCTGCAGCTCTTCCGCGCAAACTGGTAGGTGCTGAAATCTCAAATGGGGAATACTCCCAACGGCGTCAGGAGGAGTGGGCTTCGTGTCAATGTTGCCGGCGAGTTTGTTGGTTGCCGTCCATAGGTTGGTGTGGAGAACACCTCGATGGTCTGAGCCCGGTGATGTAGTCGGGGAGACTGTGGGTGCTGTCCTGGGTTTGGACGTCGAGCTGGTGTCCTGTGCTTGAGTGTTGTTGGGGTGGATTAAGAGGGGGACGTGTAGGATTCTGCAAGGGCGAGGTGTGTCGCGGTTGCGAGAAAGGTCCGGAACGGTGTTGGCAGTGTGTTGAGGGTGCAAGGTAAGCGACCATGGGGTCGTGCTGGTTCAGTGTCATGGCCGGTGGTGGATGTCCAGGGTGTGAGCGCGAAGGAAATCTGTGGTGTTGGGTGGGAAATGGGCAGTGGGATCCAGTCGGTAGTGTCCGTGGGATGCTGGAGGGTTCTGGTTGGGGAGTGGACCACGGGCAACTGGGTGAGTCGAAATGGCATCGACGAGCCAGTTCAATTCAAAAGGTTCAGTGTCCACTGAAGCAAAAGAAGTTCGGGTTGATGCGTAGCAGATGGGGCCATGGACAGCGACGGCTGAGAGGGTAATGTGAAGGTTGCAATCCCGGCAGGGGAACCTTCCGGCGGCTGCGGGCACGGTGGTGTCATCAGCGTCCATGCGGCTAAAAGTAACGGCCCAAGTTTGGGAGAACAAATCACAATCCGAATCCAAGAAAAGCTGCGGTGGTGAGAGTCTTGTCAAGGTGAAATACTTAAATCAAAATTCAAGAAAACAAGAACTTCTGAAGATCAAATCCGGCATGATTATCATGTAAAATGTGAGTTGTACAGCCGGGAGAAATCGCAGGAGATAGGCTTGTTTGTGACTCAGGCGCCGAAGGGGAATGGTGTGAAACGCGTGTCTAATCTGCCGGTGACTGAGCGGTTCACGCAGAGTAAGAGCCCACACGGTGAATCTGTTGGCGCTGCTTCGGTGGCTTGTGTTGTGGAAAGAGCAGGTGAGGGGCCGCGGCCTCGCTCGGGGCTGCTGGCTCCGCCATGGGTTCGAGGTTGACATTGTAGAGCCAATGGCGATTGCTGGCGAGGTGGGGGAAAGAGTGGTTGGGATGGCTGCCCGGAGGTGGAGATATAGAAAGCCGATGTGGGTGGCAACGTAGTACCAGCTTGGCCGGAGTTTGGGACCTGGGGTTGCTCTTCAAGTCAACAAGCTGAACATCCTGGTCAGCACTCTTTCGTCCCAGTGTGGCTTGCGCTTGAGTGAAGGAGCTGGTGCAGGGTCGCTGTCTGTGGAGGTGGGGGGGATGGCTGTCGTTTGTGGCGTGGGATGGTGAAGGCAGAATGCTGTGATTGAGATGGCCTGCGAAACGTGGTAGTGGTTGGTGCGCTGGAGGAAGAGGATGTGGAGTTGGGTCCCGTCACCTGCCTGTTGAAGTGCAGCACTCAACTGTGACAGAAGAGCTGAGGCTTGCTGCAATGTTTGTCCCATGTCAGTGGTCATCTGGTGGTAGCTGGTGGCTGCGGCAGCCAGCGGTGGCAATGGGCACGAGAGGCGCGGTGAGCAAGACCTAGTAATATCCCGGACACGCAGTGAATTATGGACGTGCCAATGAATTAGAAGTATCGAGCGACATGAAAGTTGGCAACGTGCAAGCAAGAACGCATTCCAAGATCGCAAAAAACCACGCGTGGGGGCAGCTGAACACTCCAAAAGTCCGTCAATAAACACGGTAGAGTCAAAGGTGAGGGTGGAACATGAACGTCAGGGCGATCGAGTGCAAACTGCAAAAGAGCCGGCTTTTGTCGCACTAGGGCACAGCCCCTTCATAATTGCATTGTCGGGGTGGAGGATCCAATAGCGTCCGCGGGCGTGGTGTACGGCTCCGTGCTGCTGGTTGAGCAGGTCTTTTGCATACTCTTCACCCCCTTGTTTGTAACTAAGGCCGGTACCCCAAGCGATGAGGTGGATTATGGCGCTGGCTCTGTTCTTGTCCAGACACCAGGTCTTGTGTAGTATGCTTGCCATCTCGGCGTGCAGGTACAGGAAGGTGATCAGCCTTCCCTTCCCACCCATGACCGTAGCTTCGTTGCACACGGTGGATGCCGTGTGCCCCTGCTTGGATAAAATCGGGCAGTGAGTGTTGGGTACCGGGGTGGGACACACCCACCCACACATAGCACGAGTCCCCACTGTGACGACCGACTTGAGGGACTCGACGCTCTCCAGTTGCGTCACGGCGCCCATGACCGGTGACCTGGTGCTGACCTTCAGGCCCGAAAGTCCGAGTCACGCATGGGTGGTGCTATTACTGTGACTAATGTATGTACTTTAGTGCTGTTTTTTTGCTTTCTTAAACACCAATATTGTTGTTTGCGTTTTAGTTTTTTTTGGCCCTTTCCGGATTGTGAAGACATGCCATTGAAGGAAAAACTCGCCTGTGATTCTGAAACCACCCTTCATGCCCTTCATGGTGGCCTGTTTCGCTTGCCTTGTGGATCATTTTTGAGTGTTGGCATCATGGAGCACAGCACCGAACAGGCTTCCCAGCATCTCAGAGGTGCCTCGTTTGGAGGCGCGGCCCCCGGCCTTTTGGGAGCGTGAACAGCTTGCGAACGGGAAGCAAGGGACGAACGGGAGATGCTTGGGACAACGTGCCAAAACAACTTAAACGCAGATTCTTAAGCCCACCAGATTCTTGGAAGATGTCCTGAGAGGTTTTGACATGGCACCTGTGATTAAGAATGCATCATCGTTTTGGGGAAACCGATTGTTCCTTTTTCTTCACTCATTCTTTCCTTTTTTCACCAATTCCACAACAATATCGACAGTAGAATGTGAGTTGATATTCCACCACAGGGAGGCTGATTCTTATGGCGATTCTGGGGCTCGCAGTTTTTCTCGCCAGCGATTCGGCGATTCTTGCGGACCCCAATTTAGGCCAACTGCAAGGCCGCTGTGTTGCTGCCTTCATGTTGAAGCAACACTCCAGTGACTCCAGGAACTTCAGGCTGATGACTCCAAGAACTTCACGACTGAATTCACTTGAAAAAGAAGGAGTGCTCCTTTGGGCCAGGCAAGCCGGAATTTTCCACAGATGCTGCGGCTGGTGCTGCTGCGGCCGCTACTCCTCACACTGCTACGTAGTTCAGGCCAGTGGGGGCACCCGAAGGAGTACCAGCCTGGACTTGAAGGAAACCCACTACATTTCGCTACATGTGATAACCAGACGAATGCCAACAGACGGGCCATTTTGTTTAGAACCTCAGTCTTCTTCTTCCCTCTTCTCTTTCAAGTTGCCTTTGAGAAGCTTATGATCAGCCAGCCAGCAGGTTTACCACACAAGCTGGCCTGGATTGTTTTCACCCCCATTCCGCGGCTTCCGCTCGTCGTCTCGTCCGTGTTCGTCTCCTCTCGTAGGCGATCCCTTGGGCGACGTGTCCCGCCGCGCGGCCATGGGCTGTGGGACCTTGGTCTTGGACGTGGACTCCACGGCGCCGGGAGGCGGAAACGGGTTGAGAGGGGGATGCTGGATGCTGCTGGGCGACCTTTGTGACATGTACTTTGGTGCGTTCGATGGTTCTTGTTTGGCTTTCCAAACCCTAGACAGTCAGCAATCAAATCAACGGGTCTGAAATCTTGTTCTCTATCCTTCACCCGATTTCCCAGCAAATCTCTACTTTAAAAAAGGCACCCACCTGTTTTTCGCCAGATCCTCGTTGCTTGCTCGCGAGTGTCTTTTGCTGCTACCGCTGGCATGAACGAGGCTTTCCACCTCCAACACTCTGTCACTGGCAAGACTCCAAGGACGGTGCCCATAAGCTTGACTAGAGTGAATGTGAAGGTTGTGCTGCAAGACCAAGACCTCTTGTTGCGAGAACTGATTCAATTGAATGATTCCGAAGGGTTTCGAGGGACATTAGATCATCATATAAAGGATGTTCATGGATTTTCTAGATGCCCGGCTGAGCGTTTGGAGTCCTGTGTCAGACGAGTCCGGCTGGGGTTTGCTGTTGGTTCCTTGCAGATGTTCATAGATTTTCTGTATCCTTTTAACCCATCAGTCCGCAAGTATGCAATGGCTGAAGAGTGGAACAGTACCTTAGGATATGGCTGTGAGGAATTCATACTCCCCCACCAGTCCCCATGGCAGGTTGACATCCCTTATTATAGAGGAGGCTGTTCATTTTTAGGGGTCAACCAGGGTGCCCTGATTTTGACCCACAGTCATATCAGCATGTGCTGAAAGGACTTGAACCTGGGTGATGCTGGTGCCATTGGGGCACGTCTTCACCTCTTGCTACTGGGATGAGTTGGGCGAGAGCCCCTCTAAGCGTCCAAGCAGGTGGCTACAAAGACGAACGTATGGCAGGCCCACTGACTGTGCACAGGGGCCCCTCCAGTCTTGCATTTTGCATACTTACATGTGTCGAAGCCTGCTATGCAACGCCACTCAGAACCCGGGTATCGCTCAAAGCTCGAAAAAACGCGACAGAACACCCTTTTTTTCAGTGTCTTTCGGGCAACAGGCAGGTCAGGCTGCGCAGGCTGCGCGAGCGCGGCACATCTGTTTCGTCCGAGGTTCCAAGGGGAAGCGACGTTCCAGAACGACTTCAGCTACCAGATGGTGCTGAAGGCCCAGCTCTGAGCGGTGAGCCCCCTAACTTGCCTCTTCCAGGAACTGGGTGCCAAGGTGCGGGTGATGGTGATCCTTACAAAAGTTCTCACCTGGAGACTGAGGGTCCTAACCTGCTTGCAAAAAACACTCGGTCACCTGGTATCACCTGGTCTATTGCTTCAGAGCCCCGGTTGTCTTTTTTTCACAGGCAGCTTGAGACACTGTGCAGAGTCTCAAGCCATCGAGAGAACGGTGGAGGCTCCTTCCTCCAGGTGTGGCCCTTTTTGAGAGTGAGAGAGACATATGGCTGTGGGGCATGGCACCCAGAGCCTGGGTGAGCCTGGGAGTCTATTCTGTTCATATTTTGTGGTCAACCAGGGTGGTCAACATGCCATGACCCGCAGCCAGTTGCTGGGAGGCATGTTGGATGTACTTCTGAGATCCTCAGGACAACCATCAACAACCCGGTTTGGGTGCTGCTTGTTATTTTCTTCCATCCGGGACTCCCTCAGTACGGGTAGGTGGGCGGATCATTCCGCCATGGCCTGCCAAGGCGGGTTTCACGCCCTCTTCGGCGAACCAAGAGTTGCTGGAGCTCACCCTCTTTGCCAGTGCTACTTGGAGAGCTTTGAGAGTTTGCAGCTGCCCTGTTCGCTTCGTAAAGCGCACAAATGACGATGGATTTATGAAGGAGTGGTTTCTTTTTTCCCCAAAGAAACCAGCTCGTTCAACCAAGCATGTTCAGGGCACGTGATAGCACACATGCTAGCTGCTTTTGTCACGATTCCCTTCTTTAGAGGTGATTCAAAACCTCACCGATCTAGATAGTCATAGACACTCGTGATGTTTCATCGGGATGTTCACCTGATTTCCTGACATCGTTGGCTTCTGTTTGGTGAGCATTTTTCTAAAAGACTAAAATACGAGTGCCTATTATAGTGGTTTGGACACATCAATGTCCAACCCCTCCTGCAGTTCGGATGCGAAAACAAGCGGACCATTTGTGTGGAACGTCAGACCGTTTCTCCGCGAGACCTCAGGAAGCCTCTCAAGACGAGCGCGGCCTCTCGGCGGATGCCTTTGGCGCCTGGACGAACCTGGCTGCGTTGCCGAAGAGCAGCCCAGCACTGCAGCTGAGGCGCGGGTCGGATCAGGTCACCAGGTCATCGGGTCGTCGAACGAGACAGGCCAGGCCATCCATGATAATCTTAAGAGAGTACCACAGCCACAGACTGGAAGGTGGCAAAAGTCGTTTTGTTTCCATTTTATCCTTTCTTTTGGGTGGTGTTTTCTTTCAATGATCGTTTCGTGACGATTCCAAGGAGTGCACTGAGTGCTTGTTTGGGACCCCTTTCTTCTCTGTGGAATTCATGGAAGATCCTCCTGCTCCTTTGAGACGCTCGATTTCGAGGGAATTGGCCCCGGACACGGCACCACATCCTTCTTCGTTCGGTGCGCTGTGCATGCTGGGTGGAAAGCAACCAAACACCTTCCCAAGATCCTTTGTTCGGGAACAACATGCACCGAACAAAGGATTTTGTGCAGCACTTCTTTGTTCGGGATTTTGGGGGCAAACAGAGCAAGTGGACGAGACCTGGGCGATGTGTTCCAAGGCAGAACCGAACTTGCCCACAACTGGACCGTCTCCGCTTTTGAGTTAGTGAGATGCTGCTCCTTGACTGACGGACTCTAGGTGCTTTCCACACCTCTAATGCCTACGGTCAGAATAATGTTTCCATCCATTCGAGCTTGCGACCAGTCCGAGGGTCTGGATGGTCCATGTTTCCGGTCGCACCAGGTTTCCATCCATTCTGCTGCATCTGGAGCCACCTAGAGGCCCTGAGTCCTAGAGCTCTTCATTCGTTTTCCCAAAGACTGGACGAGGCTTGCCGAATCACGAATCACCCCCCCCTCCTTGATCAGGCAAGCAGTGTTGCTGCCCCAGGAAGACACGCCATGGTACACTGGCAGGCCTATGTACACCGGCGACTCGCCGGTGTGGGGGCTGGGCACGGCCCTGGAGGTGAGTCCACCACTCACTGCCCCTTTCGATCGAAGACATCCGTGATGCCGCATGCACATCAAAAACAGCCGAGACCTGCATGCGGCTTAGCCGTGTTTTGCACAAACCATGGCACATGGAGTTGGAGCTGAATCATGGTGTGGGGGCAGGATCATTTTTTGGAGTGAGGATGAATGGGAGCAAAAGTGGCCCGTTGGCATCAGATTTCTGAAACACAGAATCTGGGTGACTTGCTGCCCTGCGCCGGTGACCCTGTGGCGTGTTTGTTAGACCGAGCCCTTTTGAGATGGCGAAGTCTCACCTCGCCCAGCCGAACGTCAATGCCGGCGCCACTGGGCCTGTGACGCATCCGGCAGGCCCATTTACTCGCCAGGCTTCAGCAATCCCCTGGTCGGAGAGGCGCTTTTTTCTTTTCACGCCGAACAAACCCATCCCCACCCAAGGTCTATGAAATCAGCCGTGAACAAAGAACAACAGGCGTTGGTCCTCCCTTTTTGATCGCTCAAAATGGGTCACGATGAAGCTCTTCTTGAGGTTTTCAGGCCACCGGACATGCATTTTGAGGGCCGCAGAGTGCATATTGTGCATTTGCAGCCCTTTTTGAACAACAACCAGGCGGGTTCTTCTGAAGGCTACAGGGTTTCTCATGGTTTCTCCGAATCCCAAAGCCTCTACTTTGTGCCGTGGAAGGGTCTTGCGATGTTTTGAACCCCCTTCCATGCTTGTGCTCTGCCAGCTGGTCCTTTGGTCCCTCAAGAAGGTAGGCAACCTGAACATTCGAAAAAACACGAATGGAATCCTGACTCTTGCTGTCCAGACTTTGCTGCTGAATCCAGTGCCCCCGCTCGCCGCGCACGTCACCGGAATCTACTCCACTCGACCTGCTGGCAGTCACCCACTTCCACGGCAGGTGCCGAGCGGCTATCCATATCCTGAAGGCTTTCCAGCTCCTGGGGTCCGGACCTGCGTGAACTTCAGCAGCCTCTTGACGACCGGAACCCACCGCGACCGGGGTTTTGGAGGAGGCGTCCAGCGAGAGGCAGGCAGGCATTTGGGTAGGTGGAGGGAATGTGTAGAGCCCGGTGAGTAGCCAGTCCAACGGGGGGGATATAGTCTATAGTAGTGATGAACCCAGGGTGAGTAAGACACCGAGACTCACTTACTGACTCATTGTATGATCATGAGGCAGCCAGAATCCAAGTGTATTTTGCATGGTTTTCATTGTCTTTCTCACTCAGATCCCAACTCAACCAAATGCATGGAACAGAGGCACTCCCTGAAATAGTCATGGAGTCATCCAAGGGGCCATGCCATCCACTTCCATCATTCTTTCAAATCCTTCGGACATCGTTTCCACCATCTCGCAGCTCCACCATCCTCATGGCCTAGTAACAAGAAGCTACGAACGGGGCTCCTGGCCATACTGCTCGGAGCGATCGGACGCGTGTGCAACGCACCGCGGTCCTCCCGTGGCTCCGCCGCGACCGCCGAGGCTACTGTGCCACGTCTCCACACCAGATCCTCGGCTCGCACGGACGGACCTGGTGCACAGCCCGGGGCACCGGAACGGACTCTGAGGTATGTGAACACCGCCGAGGGGACGGCCTGGTACCAGGACACGGATGCCGAGTTGGGATTGCTCCTTGGAGGCGACCGTTTTTTGGGAGTAAACACACCGACGGGAGGTTGGTGACCAGTCTTTGGTTTGCTACCTGCTACCCCAAAAGTGGTGCAAACGCGTTAGGAAGACCCCACAGTGCATGAAGAAGCCGAGTCGCTGGGGAGGGACTCTGATTTGATGCTCTGGTGGAATCCATGGACCGGATTGATTGGAATCCATGGATCAATCCATCAATGAATCTGCGTCAAGCTACCAGGATTTCCAGGCAAACGCGGCGCGTTTTTCCGCGCGCGGACGAGTATTAATTTAGTTTAATTTTAACTCAATTCTAATAGCTTTTTGTTACTACTAGTAAGGCACTTGTTACTACTAGCGTGGCACTTGTTACTAGTAGTAACAAAGAAGCTATTAGGAACAAGACAATGAGCTTGTTACTAAGTTTCCAGCTGATCGCTCTCCAAGTAGCCTCCTTTCTCGCTCCGTTCGTCGTAAGGCCAGCAGCCCCCTACTTGGTAGCGTTCTAATAGATGCATGTACATATGTTGGAGGTTCGATGTGTTGGATCCATCGGTGTGTTGGATCCATTGCTGGTCACATCCGAGTCTCGGTCCTTCAACTCGCCCCCCGCCGTCCGCGCCGTCCCTCTGGGTGTGGGGCGGTGGACCGCCGAAGGTTTCCCTTCTTCGCGCTTTTGACGGGCACGGCGGTCCTCTTGCAGGAGATTCAGCAGCTGGAGCAGCATGGAATTTGGGTGGCCAAGCTTGGTGAGCAGCAAACCACGGGGTTTCGGGTGTGGAGAAGTTCTTGTTACATCTCCCCACTGGAGCAAAATTATTGGAGGATCATGAGTTTGGCGAGAAACAGGCAGAAAGAGGGGGGTGGGTGGGAGGCGAGGCTTTCTTGCTACCTGTTCTCTTTTTTCGGAAGCAGGAAGAGTTCAGACATGGCAAGCTGGGGCAAGATTCCACGGGTAGATCGACAGCACTGAGGGCTCAGATGCTCTTCAACCCCTTTGGGAGCTATGCATTGAGTGCTGTGAACTCGTTCTCCTTGACACCTGGCTGATGATTTCCGTCCGAAAAATTGTACGTCTGATGGGGAGGGGGCCTGAGTGGTGAAAGAGGGATACGATCCAAAGAGCCTGAGGATGTGCGGCACTGGATTTCGATTGAGATGTTCATGAGTAATTTGTTGTATCTTCATGTATCTTCCGTCTTTGGAGTTTTTGCATTTGGAGCACATGCAATTGAGTGCAAATGGGTCTCGGGCCAAGCCAAGAATCTAGCAAGCATTCCTTCTTGGGGTTCATGTGACTTTCTCTGGTTGCTCTGCTCTGCATAGCAACTGATCGTTCGGACACTCATGTTTGGTCGACTGGCTGGAACCTTTCTATACCACCTCCAATGTCCCTTGCCCAGCTGAACAGCTCGCTCCCCCTCCAACACCCGTCCTCCGTAGCACGCCGTGCTCCGCTAGGCACCAGGTGCCAAGACCTCCAAATCGCTCCAGTGTGGATCATTTCTCCACCCTGGAAGCCAAGGACTGAGCGCTTCCTCACGAACCTCATGAGCTTCCAGATGGAGTTCGCCCTTTCACCTGAAGCTCGGCGAACGACGTACACGACACGGCGACGCGACGCACGGATCCCTGCCGCTGCTGGCTGCTCGTTTCCTTGGATGCATTGACTATGCCTTAGCTTGGCAGAAGCGGAAGCGTCGAAATCTTCTTCTTACACCAAGCCGAGGACATCAGTGGGGCATTGACCTTGGAACAGTTCATCACGGCATGCCCATCATCTCCACTGCGGACACCTCTCATGAGCGGCTTGCACGCAAATGCAAACCAATCCAAAACAAGCACAAAAAAACAACAGGGTAGAAAAAAAGGAGCCGAGGGAAGATGTTGAAGATGTTTGAAGATCTCCAGAGGTCTCTGTCTTGCTTCTGTCTTCCTTCAATGAATGCCTGCCAAGGATTAGGCCCGGTGTGCAGTGTGCTGGCAGGTCCATCCTTTGTGACTTGCACATGTGTGGCTTGTCGATATTAAGGGTTCTTGCCTTCACAAGAAAACCGGGCTCTCACGAATACCGGGCTCCTCCGTTCTGTTCTCTTCTGTTGAGTTTTTGGAAACGTTTTCCTTTTTTCGATCATAGATATAATGCAATTGATTCGGAATTCCTACATCATAGATGTAAAGCTGGGGATTCTCCCACGCCCCACTTTCGAGTCGTCCCCTCGGGGCGCCAAACCGCAGAGCCAAACCTGAGGAGTCCTCCTTGCAAAACCATCCGCTGCAGCGGTGCGACCGCCTGCGGATCCGTGTGAACGCTGGAGGCACCAGCGGTGACGAGTGGGTTCTTCATGTTGGAAGCGTTGGAAGACCGAACGTTTGTGTTTTGGATCGTTGAAGAAGACCGTGGCTGAACAAAGATGATGCTGCTGCTGCTGCTAATACTACTACTACCACTACTACCACTACCACTACCACTACCACTACCACTGCTACTGCTACTGCTACTGCTACTGCTACTGCTACTACTGCCTTCACCACTACTACTAGTACTAGTACTAGTACTATAGTAGTCAGAAGGCGCAAAAACGCATGAACTTGCTTCATTATGCAATTGCATGCACCTGTTGTACCATCATCGTATATCCCATTTTTGAAAAGCAACACCAACACGGCGAGGTGATATTCGGGCCTCCATCACGGCTTCCGTGCGGCTCTTTGCCACAGAGGATAGGCATCCTTCGGTTGTCCCACGCACCATGAGCAGCTGCTCCACATCAGCAGATGACGAGGGGTGCTTAGATCACTGTAGGATGCAATTATTGGGAAAACCTCATACGCCTGCAGCCCTGCCAATGCTTCGATTGCACCAGACAGCTACAAACTAACCATGTCTGTCCTTGGTTTTGGGTCTCATGCTTGATGTTTGACAATTGTGTTTAGGCGAGAATTCGTTGCTTAACCCAATGACTCTTTCAGCGGTACGTCTATATGATAATTACATGGGTGTGTCTCGTAATAGAAAGACCCCAACCAATGAGTTTTTGTCTATTTTCCTTCTTCCACGGGGTCTTTAGGACACACACACACACACCCTCTTTGCCAGGACTGGTGGCCAGGCTACCAACCGACCCAGTGGTATATCCAGCTGAAGTCCGAGTTTGGCGGTCTCAATTCCTACCGCAAGGTGGGCGGTGGTGTTTGGCTGAAGACTGGAGTTATTGCGGACCAGGTTCTTCGCGTTTTGCAGCATATCCCTATACTTCCCCATACTTCACCATACTTCACCTGCTATACTTGCAGGGTCCATGACAGGTCTACCCGAGGCTTCCAACCACCATTGTTTCACTATATATGTTTTACATTGTTTTACTAAAGAGTTTTGCACTACGACACCAGGTCAACCTTTCCTTTAACGGTTTTGGCAGACTAGGGATTATATATCAACTTTCAATCAACGATGGACCTGTGAATCAACAGGTGGCCAATGCTGGCTTCACGGTGTGGCAAGACTTCCTGATGGTGCAAACGACTCCAGAGCTTTGCGCCGCAGAGTGTTCGGATCACCCAGCTGGTCTGACAGGAAAGGTCTCGGATCGATGGGGTGAGGATGGATCAGTGCGTGAGTACTCCCCTGCAGAGGACCACATGGAACCCCAAAACCACGTCGGGTTGGTATTCGGAACATGGTCGAAACCACCAGTCAATCCTCAGGTTCCATGTGAGTTTGCGGGGGTGTAATCATGGACAAGAACAAGGCGGGTCGGCTGCGGAAAAGAACACATCAGGCTCATGTGATCTGGTTGAGAGTCGGAGAGAGTTGAACGGTGAGCTTTTCTCTTGGTGAACGCTTTGGGATGTGGATCAAGCAAGTCATAAGGGCTTGGAACGTGGATCACGGTGGGATCGTGGTATGGTCCCAAGCACACCGACGGGGGTGCCTTTGGGGGGCGTAGACATCTGAATTGCAAAGCGTGCAATGGCACATGATAGAAAACCACCCTTTGTCACACACCTGCAATAACCCTCACCGCAAAAAAGTGCCCCTGCAAAAACCCTCAGCCCAACATAGAAGTTTCTCCCTGTGTTTCCTTGGAACTTCTTTTCCATTGCGGATTTGAGTTGAGACGTTTCAACGCCGAGGTCTGAGTCGTTTGAACAATCCCGCACCTTGCAACTCCTTCAAGTATCACAAAGTGGATCAGGTGCAGCCGCGGATCCGCACGTTGGGCTCGACACGGAAGCGTTGGTGTCTCTGTTGCAGATGTTTCATGTCAGGCCTGTAAGATTTTCAGACCAGTTCCAGTCATGTTGGGTCTTATGAAGTGTTCTTTGAATTTCTTTGAAACATTTTGGAACCTTTCCAACCTTTCCTTTTTTTTAGAGTTTTGTTTCTTGCCAGTGGCGGGCCTTTGTGGTAAAAAAAAGAAGGTGGATTGGATCATGCCATTTTCTCACGTGAGACAACAACTCATCATTCAACCCTCAGCTGCACCGTCCCACTTCGGAGACCTCCCCCAGACCGGCCCCGTCGGACCATCCGAGCGACCGCGGCAGGACTGCTACCTCTCCAGCTACGTCGAATCCGCCGCCTCGCCGCTGCGGACCGCGCCTGGGACTGACGGGTCGGATGGACGGCCCATGGGCGTCCAGCTGATTTGGGGAGGTGATGCCGGTCCGGAAGACCATGTGCTCCCGGATGGTCCAAGGAATTGTTCAGTTGTCCATTCTGGCGTCCCTCAACATCAGTGAGCTGCGGATTCCGCACCGCCGGGGTCCGACCGCTTTTAAGGATTGGCCTGGAGATGTCTTCGACTACTACGAGTACCAGGAGAAGAATAGATCTTCCTGACTGGCCGGGAGTACTTTTGCATTTTTTTGGTTCCCATCTCTTTTCAACAAGCCTGTGATGTTTTACTCTCCGACTCTTTTTGCTGCAACACTACTAGTACAACGAATATTTAATGCCTATTCATTCTGCGACTTGCCCACAGGAGCAAGTCGCCTATGCCTTGCAGACCCAGCAGGCTTGAGTTGACCCAAGCCTGGATCTAGAGTGTGTAGACGAACCTTTCCATTGGAACCATTGGAACCATTGCAAGCACCCCTCGCTCTTCATGGATCGCCCCCGCTCCCGGACAGGTCTTGGTCTTCTCTGGGGTCTTCTTCTCCAACATCACTATGCTGGTCGCAGCCTAAGGGGCGCCAGGTGATCGCAGCCCATGCTTGGCCGTGAATTTCTTCACGGCCAGCGAAAAGAAGTGGGGCAGCTGGCAGGTGGCCCCAACAGTGTTTTCTTGATACTCAGATGAGTGAGTGAAGACTGTATTACCAGGACCTTCTCAGTGACCTCTTCAGGATCGGTAAGTGACCTTTTCAAGGCCTAAGTAACCTCATTCTGGGATCTCAAAAGGTCACTGGGAAGGTCCTGGTATAGGCTTCTTTTTGATTCGCCCCACCTGCCTGTTTTCTGTGGCGCTGTCGGAGACTCGGCTTATTTCCCCCGAGGCAGAGACTTACTTGCAGCCGCCGCCTCCGTGCCTCAGCATGCGGCCGATGCGGCAAAACTGGGATAATCGGATAGTCCTCTTCCAAGATGAAGATGGGAAGGATTTGAAACATCTCATCTTCACTGCAGAAACAGGCGACTGGAGTCAGACAGACCGGAGAATCGTCTCCAAAGGTTTGGATGGTGCCAACAAGAAGTTTCCCAAAGAAAGTCATTTGCGCCACTGCAGCTGTGCCCAAAACCTCATCGGAAGGGCGACTGGCATTGGCCACCCAGGAGTGCCCCGGCCTTCGGCGCTGTCGAGCTCTTCTTCCCAAGCTATGTCAATCAGCCGTGGCTGCGCTGTCGTGCCTAGGTCGTCGGAGAACCGGAGGAGGAAGACACAGTGGCTATAGAATGGAGGACACATGGATAGACCGGTGGATTCGCCCATCGCAGAAGGTTGTCGAGGTCTATCTGCTTATCACAGGAGCTCTACATATCTCTACATTCATCTTGTGGTTCGAACATCAAAGTGTGGGGGGGGGGGGAAGAAGAAGGAGTCCTTCACATCATCTCTTGTGGGGGGAAGTGCTTAGTGCTTCACATCCTCCTTCATACCGTATGAACGCACTGTTCACCCCTTCACTCGAACCCGAAAACTCGAAGCGTTCCCGTGTGGAACATCACCCTCACCTGGCGCGACCACGACCACCCGTCCTGCTCGTCCTGCTAAGGGATCGACTTAAGCTTGGTGGTGCCTATCCATGGACAAAGCACCCCAACGAGTGCCGGCCTTGGTGGTGGGAAGTCCGACTAGACGAAGCGTAGGGGAGGAAGCGAAGCAAGGCCGGCCCTACTGGATAAGATGCCATTGACATAGTCCATCCATTTCCATCCATAAACCATCCTTCAATGGTCTTTCATGCATCATTCGCCTATAGAGTCTCATCATTTGTGGAGTCTCCAAAGCTAGCGACGGGAACCCCCCTGGGAGGCTTGGATTTTCTGGTCCCCAGCGGCTTCCTGGGGGCGCTGCTGGCGAGCTCTTGAGGGTTTGGCCGGGTGGTGCCCGGGAGGCTGACAGTGTGGGTGGGCTGGGCATGACGTGGTCTGTCCGGATCAGCTGAACACTGTGCATGCTGGAAAAAGAAGCAACCGCGGTTTTGAAAAAAAACAACGTGTTCTTCACTGGTCGTCGTCAGGGGGAACTCCTGTTCTTCCCTCCAACCATTGTCCAGTTCTTTTTCACATTTTCTCTAACTCATTCTTTTTCCAATGAATGGTGTAGAGCAACATGGAAACAAATCGGATTGGCTCTTTTTGCGGTGGACCAGACCCCTCAAAATCTTCGCACGCCAGATGGCGCTCGAAACGCGACATGTCGCGGTGCCCACGCCCTTGGGCCGTGGCTACTGTGGGGTGGGGCGCTGCCGGTGGCTGCTGACAGATGGCCAGGCTGGTTGGGCGCAACCTAGATTACATAATTAGTAGTAGAAGTTGGGGTACTAGCACTGTACTAGGGCTGATATAAATATTATTGATATACCACGAAAAGATTGATCGACTTGGATAAAATCAAGCAGGCACCATATGCTGTAAGCGTAGCTTGTAGAAATTGTCCCTTAGCGATGTCTTTGAAGATGTTCACGTAGTAGCATGCAGGAGGGCACTTCCTCCCTTCTCCCATATGCAATATGTCTTTTCCCTGTGTGGAGAGCTCAAATCATCCTGCGGCCCCATCAGCATCGCATCAACCCTCGCCTGGCCATCGGCAAGGCCCTGTGGCCCAAAGTGAACTACGGCTTTCAGGTGACTTTTCGGAACCCTCCTGACCCGCGCCTCGTTGGAGAGTCCGGGTGCCCCAAGGGATCGCGCGGAGGAGCGGGTTGCGTGGAGTACGTCGCGCGTCTCCCTTTAGCTCCAAAACTTGGCCTTGAGAAAAAGGCATGGTTTCTCAGTGGCCACACACACACATGACAGACAAGTGTGCATGCATTTGTTTCAGAGTCTGAACACTCAATCAAGAACAAAACACGAAGTCAAATCAACAAAGATGCTTTTCCCTCAGATGAGTAGCTCACAGTAGCTGGCTCATCCCAGCCCCTTCTGCATTTGCAACTTGAAAAGAGCTTTGGACTCAAAAACCATTGGTTGAAGGGAAGATCTGCAGGACTCCTTAGGGGTGAACATCATGGTTTCCTGTAGATTTTTCCTTCAACCCATTCATGTCATTGAGATCTCCCTGGACGCCTCATTGCCTCACGCCCTCACGTCTAACGCCTCTTCGTCTCGGCCCAGGTCGTGGATTCTGCAGGTGGTCAGCTCTGGCTTCGTGGACGGACGGGGCACTGAGAGGCCAAGCCATGCGCGAAGAAGGACATCAGACGAAGAACAGGCAGAAAAGTCATAAGATTTCCATGTACTCAAGAGATCTCAAGAGCCATGTTCCAAAGATCCAGATGTATATAGCATGATTTTTGGGGCACAGCCTACAACCAGTGTGGCCATGTTCTTTCCAATCGCTGAGGCCCGAGCTACAGCTCGGCTCCAGTCTCTGTGCCTCATCCGCTGGCCGTGGACGGGCAACTCTTAGGCCGGCGGAGCGAGCAGCGCGTGCGGCGGTGGCACGATGTGGCACAGAGCTGGTGGTGTCTGTAGAGTTGGAAGGATCCCAGGCACAGTAGTCAGTAGTCTTGATCTGTGAAGGCAGCACCATGGGTGTTGACCAGAAGCATGAGTTTGTTGGGCTAAGACACCCAGAAAGCAACAGAATTCTGAAGTTCATGAGTTGGGGCAGAAGGCTGCCAGCTTCACTGGGAGGCTGCGCTGTGCACCTCAACGACCCCAAGTACCAGCCCAGCTTAGGCCGGGAGGTCAGGAGGTTCAGGAGGTCCAGGAGGTGGCCTTTGCCAAGTGCAAGCAACATCGGAAGCCAGATCTGGGTGGTGGCACCAAAGATGGATGTATTGTTCAACCTGACTTGGGATGATGGAACCCAGTGACCAAATATTTCAAGTGGCTTGAAACCAACCAGTCTTTGGACCTCCCAAACCTGGCCACAGGTGTTCAGAGGTGTTGTAGCAGGATGATCTCACAGACACCACGAGGTCTGCCGTGGGTCATGGCACAGGACACGGAAACGCGCGGCACCACCGACCTGCAAACACCGACCTACCTGGAAGGTCGGGCTCCAGGTGTTTGGACACGCACCGGGCTTGAGTGTGACCTTTTGACTAGTGCCCCTCAGGAGGTGCGCCTGTGGCTTGAGCACGACTGGTCTTTGACTGTAGGTTCCAGGTGATGCTGTCGTAAAGGATTCGATGGCTTGCATAGAGTCTGGTCAGCATTGGCACGTCAATCAGTTCAAGCGGATGCTCCTGTCTAGAGGGGGTTGTTGCGAGCGTTGAGCTTTCAAGGTTCTCCGACACCGAAGTGAGGGTGATTTTACGCCCCTGTGTCCTTGCTGTGGTCAAGAGGATTCACTTCGCCATCGCCACTGGCAATGTGCCCACACTGCTCTTTCGCGTGGCCAGCTGACACTCTTGAGTTCTTGAGGAGCAACCTGAGTGCTTCACCATTCGGGGATGGCCTACTTGGCCTGCTGCACTTGACCAGCTGCGGCATTCCCTTGCCCGTCTGCCGGATCTGTCTGCCAAGACCTTTTTCGACCCTGCTCCTTGGGTTGGCACTCAATTTGAGCTCTTCACTGATGGCACTGCTGATCTTCCATACCAAGTCGCAGCGAGGGTGGTGTTTGACTGACCCGCAGGAGCCTTATGATTTTCTGGCCGAATGTCACGTGTGGTCTCGACTGCTCGAAGCAGGATGTCGGCTGTGTTGGCCGCAGTGGCGGACCCGCCAGGCCAAACCCTCCAATGCGGCCTATATAGCATGGACCGGATGCATTAGGTTGCGACTGGCACCAGGGGTCGACACGCGTGTTCGCAGCTTCATGCAAAGCTTTGATGGCTTGCGAGCCATTCGTCGTGCCGCACAGTTCGGAGGCATTGCAAGTGCTGCGGAAGACTCCATTCCGCCTTGCCGATAGCGGTGTACCGCTTTGTTCGCCATGCGCTCCGCAAGTCGCTGACGCATTGCTGGACATAATAAGGTGCGTTAGAAAAAGGTGTTTGGACCCATCGCAAGTACCGCAAGGGTGTCCCCACATCGGCTCAACCTGACACGAATACTGGAGCTACAGAGCCCTGAACCCAACCTGTTACATGTGTCCTGATCACCACCTGTTGCCATGTGACTGGAGCCCTGGTCATGCTGTCAGTGGTGGGGGTGTCACATGGCAATCAGCTCCGAGTCTTGACGAGGAAAAACTCGTGGTTTTTCGCCTCGCGACGCTTGCAGGCAACACAAACGCAGGGAATCTCAGAGGTTTCTGCTGGGGCGAACTCTTTTCTAATCTGCTTTTTTAGACGGCATCTCTTCCACTCCTGCAACCAATCACAGCAAACTTGAAAGAACATCTAATTAAGCGGCCTGCAAGTCTGCGTCCCTTGAAATGTTTTGGTTTTGGGGTCTCATTGTGAACAGGCTGTTCATGGTGATTCAAATTGCGAACAAATCCACACACGCATGGCTTGACATGGCTGACACATCCGACACGAAGGGCGAGGATGTGACGTCGACTTCTGGGCTTTTTGGTTTCATTTACAGCGCCGGAACCGGCCCGAAGCCCACGAAGCCCACGAAGCCCATCGCCGGCTCAGTTTGAAGGCGGGTTACCGTAACGGTCATCCGAGCCGCAAAGTCACTCCAGTTGGTCCTGTGATCTGATCCATAAAGCGAGATTGAGGGTGAAATCCAAAGACTCACAGGGAAACTCTTTCGGAAAGTCCCTACATAGGCAGGCTGCGGCAGACTGTCTCGCGCTTAAATGGCTAGAATACAAGGAGGGCAGTCTCTGCTGGAAAGAGGCAGGAATTGGGCATAAGCCACATGTCCTCTGAAGATTTTTGTGAACATCCCCTTTGAACATGGAATCACATTCCTGTTCAAACGTGGGCATCAACTGCAGCTGCTGACTCACCAGGATGATGTGGCGCGTGCTTTTCTTGCCTCTCCTGGCCCATGCCAAGGCGGGTAGTTTGTCACACTGAGTGATGAGGAAAAAATCTGAAGCAGAAAAAACATCACAGCCCAGATAAACAGAGATGAAACATGAGCTACTTTTAACACCTCATGTTTTCAGCAATCTTCCTACAATTTCTTGCAAGCTTTTCAGATTTTCCACCAAGGTGTTTTTAGTTGGACCTTTGTGTCGGAGCCAAGAGATTGCTCGAAAGAACTCCACGTTCGCGAGCTTGTTTCCCTTTTCCGGTGGAAGACATCACCCTGGAAACATCTCCCCCAGCACGATCATCGGATGGGACGCTTCCCAGTGTGCCCGGTACGTCGCCGGGCCCGGTACGCCGCGTCGAGGTGCACTTCGGAGGTGACGAGTGCTGTCCTGGGCTGGTCTTCGAGGACGGTTGCTGCCGGGGGATATGAAGGTGCCGGATTTTTGGTTCCACCTGCTGGTTGCACCCATGTTTTTCAAAAAGGCAGATGACAGTAGTAGCTGAAATGGTGTTTGATTGTCCACCTCACCTAAAGCTGTGAGGATTGATGACGCTTTGGTGTAGCAAGCGATGGTCTGAGAAGAAAACACATCTTTACAGCGAATGCTTTGGTCTTGGCTGAGATCACTTCGGCCTACGGCAACTTCACGTGAGCTAGAGGACGAATCAAGGTACTTGAGATGGCCGCTACCTGTCACAAACCGGCCTGCGAGGATGGCTGCAATAGTTGTGTATGTGGTGCAGACGGGAGCAAGGCGCGGCAGGGACAAGGAAGATATGGAAAAATGACACATCTGAAAGAGACTTACACTCGTGAGTATGAGCTGCAAGAACTCTTGACCACGGCTGCTTCAAGCCTTGATCTGTGTTTGCTGCTCTAAGTATGCAACCACACAGCCAACTCCTCTCATGAACCTTTAATTCTTCCATTCTTTTCTGCGTCGAGGCCTCGTCGAGCTGTACGAACCGGGTGTGCTCCGAGACGGAACCAGAACCGGAAGGCTGCGCTTTCGCGGGCGAACCGCGGGTTGAAGCGTCTCGTTTGATACTCTTTTTGCTTTCGTGGAAGCCAACAAAGCCAGCAAAATCAGTAGAAGCAACAGATCAATAGTGATCAATCTGGTGCCGCCTTATGTGCCGGTGCAGCGCCTTATCTTCTTATTTCTTTCGTGCAGATCTGCCGAGATCGGGCAGTCATGCTTCGTTTGCCTCGACTTCCCAGGCAAGTGCCAACCTTTAACTGCCTTCCCGAAGGGCGATGGCCAGAGCTCTTAGTGTCAGCCAGGTCCGTCACAGCATCAATTTGGATCAGTCGAATCCTTTGCAATGGAGTGAGAAACTCTTCTTTACAGTAAAGTATTTTAAGGTGGATCTTGAAAGAGGTGTTTGATCTGTGACTTTTAACCATCAGAGTACCGAACTGTCCCGGATGCTTTTCCTCCAAGCTCTCGAGGGTGGAGAGCTTGGAATGCCACCGGTCGCACGACCAAAGCCTAAGCCGCTCCCATGTGACTGAAAGAAGCATGCGATCTCTGAAAACAAGAAGAAGAAGAAGAGGAAGAAGAAGAAGACGAAGAAACAGGGTCGCATATGCCGCATGTTTGCCATCGCCATTTTGGTGGACACCCGGCTGTCGTTTGATGTTGCGGCCACAGGCCCTTCTCCTATCTCGTCTCGTCTTGTTGGATACCGAGGTCTGAACACCTGCACCTGTCCCGCGGACGGGGACCTTTCAAAGGCCCAGTGCACCCGCCTCAAATGCCCCAAGGCGCCCCGCGCCGGAGCGGAGAATGTCCCCGCGATGAGACACCGCGAGAGAGCTGAGACACCACGATGTTCGGCCGGGTGCAGCGTTTGGTACGTTTTTGCACATGTTTTGCCAGGGTTTGGAGCCAGATTCTCAAGTCTGTTTGATCTTGTTTGCAAAGATGCGCGTGACCTGTGGAGATCACATCTTTGCAATCGTTGATCTCGTTTTGGCCTTGAACAAGGACGAGTGATCACTGGGGCACTGAGTACGTCATGCTGAGCCAACGGTCCACCTGCTGATGGTAAGCCTCCAATGGTCCACCCTCCCAGCAACTGCTTGAAGTTGTTTTCACCTTTCAGTCCGGTTTTCAGGGATGAGCCAGCAGTGTGCTTCTGAGAGGATGACTTCAATTCGTGTAGAACCACCATTTGGATGTAGGCACCCCATTTGAAGTCATGAACCACCCCATTCCTCTGAGAGGATGGACTCTTGATTCATAAACCCACCCCATTTGGATGTACGCACTTGCGGGTCCATGACGACGCATGGCTCCTGCGGTCCTGGTCCGCTAATTTGGGGGAAGACGCGGGTACCGGTGGATGATTGAGTGTGATTTTGATCGGTGAACAGTGAAAGACCGTACCGAAGAGCTTGTACAAGTGAATGAAAGACATGAGCATCGAATGAAAGACAATGTAAGGCGCAGGAGGCAACTGAGCAAGATCATGTTACAAGACACTGAGGACGAATGATGCGGTTTTGCACCATGCTTGCGATATGTGGGGACAAGGCTGCATCGTGGTTTCATGTGAACAACGTCTTCTTATGAGGGGATTTATTCATCAAGAGTCTACATCAGAGTGACGTTCGTTGTCACCAGCCATCCAAGACCGCCCACAGCTGTCGCACAGAGCCCGGCCGCACCCCACAGCTGCAGGTGGACCTGGCGCTGACGACCCAGTCTGTTGACGAGGGCACTTGCTGTCCTGGCTATTCATTCCAACACTCGGATGGTTGCTTGAATGCATCAGTGATGCGGTGACCAACTGCACTGGACTCCGCAAGCCTTCATGCAGCTGAGTGATGCTGAATGCTATCAAACTTAGCTGGAACCTTCCACCCTCCCACCCACCCGCCTTATATATTATATATGCACGGTCGAAGAAGCACCCGCAGATTCCGTGTCCGAGGCTGCAACACCTGTCACTGTGGAACCTCAGGGCTCAAGAATCAGTCGGGCTGCACGCTGATGGCTTGCCCTCCCTCGATGCTACCACGCGGGGGCATCCAAGAAACACAGCAAAGATGTGCCGGAAAACACAAATGCTTACACAAGTTTCAACATGATTGAATATCACATTTTAATCAACTAATTTTGTACATCAATAATCATCATCCTGAACATAGTCCTACAATGTCTTACAGATGTACGGAGCAAAAACAACAACACTACATGAGCCTGTAGTTCTGCTGGTGAGAACAAACGGACTGACAAAACACACGGCGTTTCAGGGCCTCACAGGCCGACTTGAGGAAGTGCCCAAAAACCCTGAAAACCAAAGAGGTGCTCGGTGCGCAGATGATCGCTTGGTATAGCTCAGTCGTTCGACCGCCACGAGTCCACTGATTTATCACCAGTCCGGGTGATGAACGATGGTCATGATGGAGAGGTTTCACAAAGACGGTTTTCCGACGTGTGGACACGGTGGAGAGTAAGGTCCTTCACCTAAACTGCCACAAAGTAACTGCTCGAAAACAGGTGCAGGTTAGCGAGCCCACCTCTTGTTTTCACATGCTTTCAGTGCTAAAGCAGTGCTCGAAAGTCTGTCTGCTGACTGAGAACTCCTCACGTCTTATGGCCGCCCAGGCGAGCGATGCATGCCGATGTCCACCTTCAGGGCCCGCCAACCCAGAAAACCGGTGGGCCTCCTCGTGAAAAAATCGAACAACGGAGGTCGCCTTGCTCCCCACCGTTGGATAATTGGGTACTTCCTGGATTGTTCCACCTGTTGATTGTTCCTTTGGATTGGATAACAGGTGGGCGGAGTCCAAAGGAAAAAAGGACGGATGTCGGATGTCTCCGGTTTCGACCATCCGCGGCGACGTCTCGTCGCATGTGGTGGCCGAGCGAGTCGGATCGAGTTGGATCGATGACGGAAGAGACATGGACAAGGCTGGCAATCGGCCGAGTAAAACGTTTGTTGGGAACAACATGGATCAATTTACAGGTTTTTCCGTTGATTCTCTAAAGTTTTAATAACTAAGATATAACAAGAACAAGGAAGGCCTAACGGTACAATGTCAAGCAGCCCCATTGCAATTGCGGGCCGTTTTGTGGACGCAAATCACGCTTGCATCGCCGGAAGACCACGTAGAAGTAAAGCTAAAAGCACTCACCCTTCCATCCTTAAATTGTGAAAAGGAGTGAAAGCCGATGACTCCCATGATGTCTACATTCGCTGACTCCCGAGATGGTCTTTATGGATCTTGATGGGCTAAAGCCGAACACCACTGTTGGTACATGTTGGCACTATCGTCTGACCGTGCA